GCCACGCCGCAATCCCTTCTCCTCTATTCTCCTTTCGGGATCTTGGGCATGCACGCACATGCGCCCGGCGTGAGTTTAATAAGCCACCGGGTCCGGGACTCGAACCACGGTCGACTATGTGGGAGTCCAGCGACATAGCCATTACGCTAACTGCTGGTCCCAAGATCCAACTTTAACCACTAGGCTACAGAGTCAGCCCAATACTGATTTCTTTATAAAATATATCGTAATAAAAATATGTGATCAGAGAAAATAATAAACAGACACAATGCTTTATTAAATCTTAAGATCATATTTTTCCAAAGTTTATTTTCTGAAAATGACCAGAGATTTATTTGACAGCTGAGAGATTTTGTAGGTATCAAGTTATTAAAGAAGATAATATATACTAGAACCTGAGGAGGACTAGCATACCCCCATACACTGTTTTCTGCTTTCATAAATTTAAGAGAGAATCCGACACTGAATATCTAAAAAATATGAAACTACTAATTTAAGTCCATATTTTAAGTATAAGACACGGCTTGAATTTTATCATAAAGGTAAGATAAATTATGTGGAAAAACTCAAAAATATACCAAGGAGGAACAGTAATAAAGGAAATCCATGAGAGAGAGAAGAAAAACGTCAAACCTTTACATGCCAGTATCTATACACTGGATGAAAAGGTCCCACATTGTGGAACTGTGATATTAAAAAACACTGTGAAAAAATAAACCATATGCCAGGGTATAATTTCAAAACATATTTCACTTTCATAAAAAATTTTTAAAAATCCCTTTATAGGGGGCTATGTTAAAATTATCTCTTTATTTCTCATGAGAAATATAGTTTTGGTAATAAATTACTACTTGACAGTCATAACCATGTAACAGACATACTCTACATGTATAATTTAAATATAATATGAATATTCTTTATGGGTATACTTCATATAAAAATACCATTTTTACACTATTTAGAAAAATACCGGCAACCTAAGTTCACGGGAACGCGCCAACCAGTGAATCAGTGTCCACATCCTACATCAGGAAGCCTGCGCAGGTGCGGGTACGAGTCCCCGGGACAGGCATGTCTGCGAACTCTCCAGGAGGGAGATTGTGCTGGGTAGGGAGGAGGCTGCAGGTAACGCAGTGGCGAGTGTCAGTGTAGGACGGCAGGGGTGGGGACGAGCAGACGTAAACGAGAGGTGCTGTAACACTGGGTCACACAGAGATGCACTGGGTCATCGGGAGTATCAGGACGCACTTTTGCATAGAAAAACAGAAAAATACGTCACGACTTTCCTGACGACCTAATACATCATCACGCGATCCATTCCTCACACCATCTCCTCGAGAAAACACCAAAAAATATATTTTTATATGTTTACTCCTGGACCCAGTGGCTTGAAAAACACACTGTGTGTGTGCATGTGTGACCAAAATCCCAAGAGGGGAATGGAAAAGGGATTAGTGTGGCCACCCTCACTGGGGTGTGATATCTCACTTTCTCTGTTTCTCTCCAGTGAGTGCCCACACTCTACAATAAATTAAAACATAAAAAAGTTTAGAAACTCAGTTTTAGGGGGCCAGCAGATGGAATAGCAGTTACATCACTGGACTCCTATGTGGCCGACCACAGTTTGAATCCCAGACTCGGTGGCTTGAAAATCATGCCAGGGGTGTGTACATACGGGCCCAAGATCCTGGGAGGGGAATAGAGAAGGGACTGTGGCATGGCCATCCTCCCTGGGTGGTGATTTCTCAATTTCCCTTTTGCTATCTCTGTCTCTCTCTGGTGAACGCATGTGCCCTAAGGCAAAAACTTTTTTTTAAAAAAAGTTTTAGTAAAATTGTTATTTGAATATCTTCAACCAAAAAAAATTTTCTTCTTCCCTTAGCTTCTGGTTTTATGACCAAATATCCTGAAGATACCGTTTTTCTTCTTTTAAAGTAGCCAGTGTTTTCATTGCTTCTAGTTTTTCCACTCCAACCTCTTTGCTTATTATTTCCACAAGGGTTTCATTTACATCCTTGGCCATATTCTTAGCATCTCTAGAAGAGAAAATAACAGTAATGTCATGTACCAAATCCTCAACTCTCAGACCTAACTCCCTCTGACTGTACCACCTTCCTTCTCCCCTGTGCTGTGCTCTCAGTGTGCGACCCACAGGTCTCCTGGCCTCACTCACCCCCACACCCAGGGCCTTCACCCCTGCCCCCCAGTGTTTGTTCCAACTTGTGAAGCTGAAAACGCAGTGCCTCAGCGGCACACCCTCGCAGGCCTATTTTCCACGTGTGGCTGAAGCGCCCCTCAGCGTCCACAGCACTCCAGGTGCTGCTGAAAGCTCCCACGGCTCCACTCCCGCGGGTGATGAGCTCTCTCACACTTCTAAGCCTTTACGCCTAGCACTGGTATTAACAGGCACCTTCACTGAGGACCTGCCGTGTGCCTGCCCTGTTCTAAAGACTTTCCACTCTTCTTTACTCGTGACTGTGGACATGGAGTGGTGCCCCTTCTGTGGCTCCAGCAGGACCTGACGCAGCCCCTTACTATGTTGTAAGCATCTGCTCACGTGGCCCGCCCAGCCAGGAAGTCACCTGAAGGCAGGGGGTGCACCTCATTTACCCTTGTACCTGTGTACCTGTCAACTCCTGAGCAGAGCCACAGCCCTCGGCAGGCACGTAAATGCTTGCTGCAGGAGGAAGTGCTGACAGACGCTAACACGCCAGGAATGAACCTCGCTGGGACTATGCAGGTTGAGAAGCATCTAGAGTGGCCATCTCACTTTTCTCACCGTACTCTCTGCTCACCCACCCAAGGGCTTCTGTCTGCAGAGCTCTCCCCAGTCACCAGTGGTGCCTCACTGGAAACCTCCCCGTCCTCTTGTCACTTAGCCCATGAACAGCACGTCACCTCCCTGGGACAGGGCTCCCTGGGCAGTGAGACAAGCCTAAAGGAGGCTTCAGTGGATGTTCCTCTTGGCTTGCTTGGTTCCCACTTTCCTGGTGGACTCACAGACAATCCAGAGCCATGGGGTTTCATTCCAAGCCTTGCCCCGACCACCTCTTGTCCTTTTGGGCACTCTCACTTTGCGAGTGTGACGAGTGTGGCAGCAGTGATGGGGAAGCGGTTTCTGAGGTAACGGTAAGACCTCGAGCACTCCTCACTGACCGGCCACTCGTGCATCTGTACAATCTGCTCTACCGCTGCTACCTGAGGGTGTGTCTGTAACTTCAGTCTGTACCCGACCTCTGACAGAACTGTCTAGGAACAAACTAAAGACCCAGTACTGCAGTAAAACTCGATGAGGGCTGGCCTCACAGCACAGTGATTACGTGCCATCTGGAAGAAGCTGGCTACCATCTGGCCAACCAGGGCAAAGCAGGCAGCTCAAAAAGCACTGTCTGCACATTTGCATGCCCAGGGTCCTGACGAGAGGCGAGAGCTGAAACAAGGACTCCGGGATGACCAGGCCTTTCCGGGTGCTTTGCTCATCCCCTTTCCCTCTCAGGCATGTGTCCTCTGGCATTGAAAGTAGTAATAATAAAAAGAAAAAACCTGAGCGAAAACATAAACCAACAGAATGTCTAGAATTTCTCTCTGTATCAACCTAAAGCAGTATTTCTAAAATGAGAAATCCACTTTAGTACCCAAAGTCATTTTTTTTTTTCATTAAACAGTTGAACAAAACAGAACATAAGTTAGCAGAATATGTCATTAAAAATAAGCAGAGGGGCTGGCAGGTGGCGTGGTGGGTGAGCAGAGAGCATGGTGAGAAAAGTGAGATGGCCACTCTAGACGCTGGACTCCCCTATGTCTGACTGCAGTTCAAGTCTCGGACCTGGCAGCCTGCTTTCTTACTATCTTCCTCTGGCCAAATAAAATAAAATAAAATAAATAAATAAAGTTAAATAAAATAATCCTTTTTTTAAAAAAAGTAAGTGGAAACCATAGGTTCTATTTTGCAAGACTTGCTTCAATGACATTTTTATGTATTCTGGGTCATTATGATAGAATATTTCATCTTTTGTGACATTAAAAAGAAAAAAACCTGACTCTAAGACTGTTAAATGCTAGAGATGTGTGAGATCAAAAAGTAAACTTATTTAAAACTCCTTTTTAAGTACCAGAAATGTTTTGAATTCCATAAAATTAAGCTGAAGTCTATTTTTTTTTAAAGGTTTTTGCTTTAGGGTGTGTGTGTGTGCTCCCCAGAAACATAGAGACAGAGAGACAGAAAGCAAGAAATCACCCCTCCCCCCCAGGGAGGATGGCCACGCTGCAATCCCTTCTCCTCCATTCTCCTCTCAGGATCTTGGGCACATACGCACATGTGCCTGGCGTGAGTTTAAGCCACGGGGTCCGGGACTCAAACCACAGTCAACTACATGGGAGTCCAGCGACATAGCCATTATGCCAACTGCTGGTCCCAAGCTGAAAAGTTTATAACAATTTTATGTTCTATAGCAATTATGGGTTTCTATAACAGATCTTGCCTCAAAGTCAGTAAAACTTGACATTGGAATAACTCCTGGGCCAGCCCCATGGCCTCTTGGTTAAAGGAGCCAGATCCCACATGGCCGACTGCTGGTTCAAATGACAGCACGAGCACCCTGGAGAACATGTCAGAGGTGTATTCACGTGTGCCTGAAATCCCAAAAGACTGGAGAAGGGCTTGTGGTGTGACCATGCCCTATTGAAAGGTGTTTTCTCCCTCTCTCCCTGTCTGTCTTTCTCAGGTAAGCATGTGCATGACTAGTAATTATAAAAAAAAAAAAAAAAAGTGATTCCTGGCTTTTATCAACTTTAATACCTCAAACTCAGACTAATAGGAAAGAGAGTCTCAGTATTCACATTCCGAGAGTCACAGTCAGATTTTTCTTAGCTAGTTCGACACAAAGCACATATTCTTATACACGGCAAAATCAACCAGAATATTTCAAGTTAAGTGATTGCCATCTAAACACAAACACAGTTCCTAGAGGCTAAAACCATGTCTCTAAGATGATGCGACGTATTCTCTGGTTTAAGGATTAAGTGTCCTAACCCCTTCATTGCTAAGGACAACTTCTTGTCTTCTAAGCATATGTTAAAACCATTTTACGACTTGAATGTCTGTTCCTAAACTTAAGATTTAAAATGTCTCATCCTCACGTATCCAGACTCTTAGTCTTACACCTTTGTTGCTTCTATAAATGTCACTGACGGGCTTCCCCACCTGGCCCTCAAGCAGCGCTGGTCACTTACCCGCACACGTAGACATAACCGTTCTCGTGAAGGAGGAGTCCAGCCACCTGTTTGCTGTGGAGCCGGATGTTGTCATGTACGTACTTCGGGGCTTCCTCCCTCCCCACAGCAGCGTCTCTTGAGAAGGAAACCTTCAGATGAGTTAATATCCCACGTTCAAGGAAACGTCTGAGTTCTTCTCTGAAACAGAATGCCAAGTGGGTCACTGGAAGATGACAACGTGGCACCAAAACGCCTGAACACTGGACCATGCACTCAGGGGCTGTGGGCACAATTCCAGGCGTGTGCAGTACCTGAATAAGTAATCCCTGTCCTTATGTCTGCAGCCGAAAAACAACCACATTGCTCCAAAATTTCCATCCGGATGTTGTTCTTGGAGTTTTTCTCTAAATGAAAGAGAAAGTTTAGATGTTGGATATAAAGAATATGTAAAACCAAGCTCTTGTCAAGAAATACCACCAACAAACTCAGAAAGGTCTATAAAGCCCATCTTTGCAATTGCTGAAAGCGCATTTGCTTAATGAACATAGCACACCCGCAGGCTGCCATAACCCCTCCAGTACAGTTTGGTACAGTAAGTGTGTGTGTGAGGAACCGAAGCTACATGTGTGATGAGGACCATTCAAAATACCACACTATATGGGGCTGGCAGGTGGCCTGGTGGTTAAAGGTGCTGGATTTCCCACATGGCTGACTGTGGTTCGAGTCCCAGACCTGGTGGCTTGCTTTCTCACTTTCTCTCTCTCTCTCTCAAGCTGTCCATCTCTGGTCAAATTGAAATAAACAAATGAATAAATAATTAAAGTTAAATAAAATAATTCTTAAAAAAATCATACCAAACTGTGAAACCTAGGCAATTTGGGCCCAATTATATGACTATCAATTTTATGAATAAATTAAATAATAATGGACTAAAAGCACAGGTGTGTAAATGGCAGGATGCAGTGTCCACGAAATGACGGACGCAGCAGTGAGACCTGCGGGCTGTCTGCCGTCAGTGCTTTAGCTTCAAGGAAAAGGTGAAACAGAACCATCACGCGTGCACAGGACATGCCTCCGCCCCCTGGGGACCAGCACAGAGGACTGTCCCCTACTCCACAAATAGGGACAGAAACACGTTATTGATTTCTTATCAAATAGCTCTGTTCTGATAGCATAACACCTATTAATAATCAGTTGAAAATTACTCCTAATTGGAGTTTATCTTTGACACTTCTGGTATAAGTGGATCTCTGCTACTCCCAATTCCATCTCGTTAAGGAATAACGGAGCATGGAGATGTGCCTGGGATCTGTCCCCGGCTACACACGCGGCATCACCGAGCAGCTAGGAAAAGAAAGTGAAAAATACGAGCACCACAGTGAAAAAGGAAGTTCCACTTCCAAGCAAACTCTCTGCAACATACTGTGTTTACCTGTCCCACGGTAACACGTTATACTATACAATCACATTTGATAGTAATTTTTTAGAACCAAAAAAAAAAACCCCTCATAACCAAAGTCCAGTAATCCTAAAAACTACTGAAGGAACAAAAAAGAGCTATGATAGTTCCTCCCGGGATCACAAAACACATTTTCCCATGAGCCACCAAGGCATGTACCTATGCTGCAGGAAACCAATAAAGGGTGCGATGCCGGTTCCTGGACCCACCATGATGACAGGGGCTGTGGAGTCGCTGGGTAAGTGGAAAGAATGTGTTGTTCGAGGAGCAATGAAGATCTGAAATAGTAAAGCAACTGTGGTAAGTCTGAAAGAAAGCATAGGCAAAAGCATACACTCAAGATTATCTTTGCTAAAGAAATCAAAGAGCATGCATTCTTCTCAAGGAAGGACCATTAAATAGCAGCACTAGATCTTACTAAAAACCACACACACATCTATCACTACAGGGAAATAAGAAGTATGTCTTGCAAGTTTTACTTTTCTAAGCAAATAAAATGACAGACATGGTATTTCTGAAGCAGAATGCTAAGAGATAATAATCAGGGCACTCTTCCAGGCTCAAGGGTAAAAATCTGCTCTCCAGTAAGCAATCGCTAATACATACTGTGGGGAATCTATCAAAACGAGGACACGATTCTCCGTAGGGCCACCAGAGTCTGGCATCAAGACGGGATTTAGTAATTCCCAGTGAAAACCAGAAAATGATAAAAAGAATTAAAGAGCAGAAGATTAGTTGCTCCAAACACTCCAGAGAACATTGGATACCAAATGTCCAGAATGGTTTGTATAAAGGACAAAAAAGTGACCTAAAGTGTTTTTGTTAAAATTCCAAGATTATTTCCTTCCAAATAATGTAATAAGGATACTACCTTCAAGGAATCAAGGAATGTCTCCCTTCCAGTTTATTTCTGCCATACACATAAGTCACACTGAAGGACAACCCTAACGGCTAATAGTGACAAACTTCTCTGCCTTGCATGGCAGTATGGTTGAGAACTTGTAATTCAAGGAAAATTATAGGATGTTGATGAGCTGAACAGGACACCTTCTAAATAAAGGACCGGCAGAGCTAGTCTAATAGCAACTGTGTAATGGCTGTTCCCTGGGAGTGAAACTATTACGCTGCATTAACCGTGTTCACTACATCCATCCCTAGATTCACTCGTCCCGTCATTCCTTCATTCGCTAGATTCACTAGTTCACAGATTCAACAGTTTTACTGGAAACATTCTAAATGACCGGCCCTAGGGATACTGAGGGAACAAAGTCTCTGACTTACAGAACTCACATTCTAGGACAGAAAGACAGGGAGCAAACACACATGCACAGAATGAAGGCTTATGCCAGACAAAGCATAACTAGAAAGAGGAGAGGACAGGGCAGGAGCTGCCAATCCACACCCGCCTGAAGAGAAGGCCTGGATCTGTGATGAGGCCTTGGCCAGACCTAAGTAAAGGGGGGTCAGCCAGCCTGGAGCGTGCTTCTCGTGGAAGAGAAGCGATGAGGCCCAAAGCCCTGAGACGAGAGGACATCTGCTAAAGCCAGGACGGGAAGGAGACCAGAGTGTTGCCTTTCACTGCAGTAAATCTCCGATGACACACAGCACCAGACACTTACTCTGGCTCTCCTAATTCTGGCTCTCCTTACTTGAAAGCTGTGTGTCACTGCAACTCTGCCCCACAGATCAGACTCGAAATCCAAGCAAACGGGAATTCCTGACCTGGACCATGGCTGTCCTTATGGCAGAGGAAAGAGGAAGGGGAAAGCCACACCACGCTTCAGCATTTAGTGTTCCTGCTTAGATGTGGCCGTGCCCCGTCGCTCGCAGGCCAGGCCAGATATCAGGGGAGGGGGCCAAGCTCCCGAGGACAGGACTGGAGCAGGGGCAAGGGGGGCAAGTGTGCGAACAACGTACCACCTGCCAGTTATGGCAGACCCTGCAAACATCCGTGTCCGCTATACTCTGTAATAAATAAGCCCTGCTAAGCACAACGCAGTCTGGGTAGTCGTACGTTGTTTCCTGTAAGTCTGCGCCGCCAGTGTGACACCGTGGGCAGCCAATACGCCTGCTGAAGTGGGGACGCGCGGGTGGAGTGGGGGCTGAGTATGGGAAAGGCACCCATGCTCAGTGTTTCCGACAATCCGTTTTTAATCTAGAGTCATCTGCTCCTTTTATATGATCACAGGCAACATGTGCTTTCACATCAGTACTATCGTTCCCCCCCCTCCACAAAAGAGGCAGTTTCTCGGTTTTGTGATGCTGATGTATAACGAACCTATAATGTTTAATGGACACACTCTTCTGGGTAGCAGACCAGAAAGTATCAAGCTAAAGGGTGATTTCGAGCAGTGGTTTCCTTTAAGCCCTCTCGAGTGCACACATGGAGGTTAAATGCCTGAGAGGCTACAAACTTTACAGCTCCTGTAACTCATGGAACCACACTTTTCATAAGCTAGTGCTACAAATGGCACATTCATCTCTTACTACCAAGAACAAAGAAGACTTTATGACAGAACCTGAAACTTTTTTTATTTCAACCATCCTTGTGGGCAAGGAGGGGCAGTGTTAAATTATCCCTATGCATATGATGCTAAATGAGATTCTGCTGTCTATCAAAGTACCCAAGGTGTTTCTGCATCCAGGTGTAAATGTGTCTATGGTTGGTTCAGAAAAATCTCATAACCTTCTTCTCCCAAGTGTTTTCCAAGTCACTTCCCACCATAGTTCCTTCACACTACGACACAATTCAGATCCTACAGAGCAAGGTTTGGCAAATGGAGGAAGAACGGGGAAACCCTAGTACTCAAAATCTGAGAACATAAAATTATCCTCTGGTTGTCTGCAGACTGCCAAGGTAAAACTACTTCCCTGGGATGCAGGGGCCACCTCCATGTAAGCTCGGCTGTCCCCGCACTACCAACTTTCATAACTTAGTCCACTTTTCTCACTAGTCCTAGGCCAACCTACCAACAATATTAAGAGAAAAGTCTACTTTTCTATAACCAGGACAAATAAGGAAAAAAGACTATTCTATGAATTTGTGCTTTATACATTCAGGAACTATATGGACTAGTTAAGAGAAAGTGGAAACAAGTTTTCTTTGTAGGTTTTTGAGGGACTTCCACATTGTCCTCCATTGGCTACGCCGATTTACATCCCCACCAGCCTCCATCACCTGTCCTTTATTTTCTTGGTCAGAGCCTTCGTACTGGGGTTAAGTGGTTCTGATTTGCATTTCCCGTAAGAGAGAGGTTGAACATTATTTTGTATGCCTTTTGGCCACTCATATATTTTCCTTAGACAGCTGTCTGCTCACTGCAGTATTCATAACTGCTAAAACATGGGATAAATCAAGGGCTCAAAACAGATGACAGGATCAAAAAACGTGGCACACAGACGCTCTCGAGTATTACTCAGCCAAGAAAGATGCAAAATGATGCGACCGTTATTTGATACAAAGTAGACGCAATACAAGATTTAATGCTAAATAAAGTGAGACAGATTATGAAAGAGGAACACTGTATATCCCTGCTTGATATACACCGAATGTCTGTACTCTTTGACAGAAATTGAAAGACCTGAAGATAAAACGATAGAGAAGGAAACGTGGACACCAGACATTATAGTGAAGGAGGATGCGTAGCAGGGAGAGGATGGGAAAGGCTTAGGGAGAAGTACCTGACAGACCTAAGAACGTAAAGTTCTCTGATAGAAAAGATGTATATGGTAATATTCTAGATTTGATGGTAACATAATGCACATTAAAAGAAAACCTATATTGTGTGTTACGGAGTTGCACAATAATTAACTGTGAAGAGGAAAAAAAGAGAGTAAATGAAAATAAATAATGTTTTGCTGTCCTTACTATGGTATAACAAAATACAAGCTTAACAAATTTTCTTTAGAATAATTTGATGGCAATGGATGACAAGATGAGACTATTATTTTTCTAACCAGGCAAAGAGAATGTTTCCAGCAACACTGAAACCATACCCCACTTCAGTACCTGAGGAGCCAGGGCTTTTCCGCTGTCTACAGGTGACTCCTGTGTGTCTGGCTGAAGAACCGAGGCAGCCAACGTGGCCAGCCAGCCTGTGCATACTCCCCTCCGCAAAACCGCCATTGTGGTGTTAGATGGATACTCCACAATGTTAAAAACAAAATGAAGTTTCCCTGGGTGAAACAGACTTGAGCTGCAAAGACACACAGTTATTAATACTAACACACCTGGCCTGAACTGATTGTTTTCTACTACACTTAGGGTATGTTTTCTATGGGCCTGAATCTATCTTTGGACACCTCAGATACAAAAGCTCATACTTACAAACTGTCCTCACCAACCCTCACACAGGTCCTCATCCCATTGTGTGTTATCATTCAGGGAAGTTTCCAATTTTATTTGCTCGCCCTAAAACTAGATAAAATTTATGAAAATTGACATGCCCCAAAAGTCTTCACGTAAAAGATTCATTCACTCCATGTTTATAGATTCTTAAGCGTGCAAACGGATAGGGATAAGCCCTGACAGATACCCCACATGCAATTTACTGTTAAGACGGTAAAATCTGGAAGTGAGTGAAGTATATTTACCCAGAAAGCCAAAAATTCAAGGTGAAAACATCACTAAACACATTTCTTTTCATGTTATGTAATAAGCTAAATGATCTGAAGGAACTTGAGTGAATTCTCATTTCTCTTTGAATGAAAGTAAGGCACACCTTCCTGTACTACTATTGTAGGGGCACGGGAGAGTCAGACGGGAACGGCAGGGGGGATGAAGGCAGGCCCTGGGGAGGGGAGCTGGGGCCAGCGCTCGTACTCCATCTGTTCTACAGTGGTACTTCTCTCTCTTCCGTGAGCTCCTCAGCTGCCCAGGGATGGTCGCTTTGGCACACCAGGACAGGGCCACACAGAGAAAAGCAGAGGAGGGCGGTGAGGTCCACTGCCCTAACTGGGCACACACGGGGCCGGACCCTGGGAGCCCCGAAGACTTTACACTATCAACTCCTGGGGAAAGGAGTCCTGTGACTCCCTGTTTACACCCACCTACGCTTGGTACTGTCATCCCCAGCTGCACCAAGTACATGCGTACTCAAAAAGGATGCGTGAGTCTGTTTCCTAAGATCTAGGGGAAAACGTGCTATACATTCATAAATGAAATACCTTGCACATGAATATGGTCTGGGTTGAAGTTTAGGGAGATGTTCTAGAAAAAAATAAAAATAAGCAATTATTAATTCCTTGCTGCTGAAAATAAGTACATACAGGACAAACAAATTCAAGGCCTAAGCTTGATTCATTTCATCTTATATAGAATATCCAAAATAACTCAGTTTTAAGTAATATTTTAGAGCATATATAAAATCTTTATGTCTAAAATATTGTATTTTTCCCCTTCACTTTCTAAACTAGCATCCTTACTTTGAAATCAATATTCCTATGCACGTGCTGGTTTTTTAAACCAAAAGATACTGAGAATAGGACCCAAAAATACACCTCGGCATACAGAGAGCCATCAAATATCTGTGTGTATGTGGTTTGTTGGGGAAGGAGGTTCAGAGTTTTCAGATTTGTAATAAAGTCACAATTCCAAAAAGATTAAAGACCATTATTTGAATGATTATTGAAAATATTTAGGCATGAAATATTTTTCCTTCTTATATTTATGTAATAAGAAAATGTGCAGTATTGGACATATTTAAAACAAACTCAGGTTTCAAGATACACAGGTGCCTTTTTAAAAGCAAGCTAAAGAGTCAGTACTTAAATATCTACTTGTCTACTAACATTTTGAAATTTTTGTGTTGGGACCAGCAGTTGGCGCAATGGCTATGTCGCTGGACTTCCATGTAGTGGACCATGGTTCAAGTCCCAGACCTGTTGGCTCAAACTCATGCTGGGTACGTGTGCATGTGCCTAAAATCCCAAAAGAAGAATGGAGGAGAAGGGATTGCAGCATGACCATCCTCCCTGTAGGGGGTGATTTCTCGCTTTCTGTCTGTCTCTCTGGTGAGCACAAGGTCCCTATAGCAAAAACCTCTCCAAAAAAAATAAATTTTTGTGTTTCATATGTCGTACGTACAGTAACTTACAGAAAGTTAAAAAGGTGTATCTAAAATGACTTAGTTTTAATAAATAGTATAAGGTTTAATATGACTCCATATTAAGCTTTAGATATACTCATATTTCTTAAAGAAATCAGAAATAATTAAAATTTTGTAAGTCCCAATGTTTTTGTTAATTTTTTTATCTAACCATGTAATAAGTGGTGTTTTTATTTTAAAAACTAACAGAAAGCCTACAGAAGGAATCGAAACACATGTGCATATGACAGAGAGCTCCAAGTACAACTTTCCAGCCTGTGCACTGGTCACCGACCCAGCCCCTAAAGCTCTAACCCTGAGGAGAGCCAGCTGGAGGACAAGGCCCTGGGCAGAGCCTCCTCACATGGCAACCTTCTCACCATTTGGGAAGAGGAGAGAGGAAAGAGCACTAGGAAATAACAAGGAAGAGAAGTCCGGATCTGACAGCAAAGGCGTGCCCTTCCCTGTCCTGGCACCAGGAAGGACCCTGCTGGCCTCACCGCAAGGAGGGTTCACTGATGACAAATGCAAATGCTAAAGATTTTATCACTCGTCACTGCAGGACAGGAGAAGCGGTGACAAGATCACACACATGGGAAACTACTACAGGTTTAAAATTCCTACAGGGCTGGCCACTGGCACGGTGGTTAAGGCGGCAGGATCCTACAAGGCCAACTGCACAGAACTGAGTCCCAGATCCAGCAGCTTAAAAAACAGGCTGTGTGTGTGTGCACGCATGTCCATAAACCCCCAGACAAGAATGGAGAAGGGACTGCTGTGTGGTCGTCCTCCCGAGGGTAGTTTCTCACTTTCCCTCTCTCTGTGTCTCTATCACCAGTGAGTGCCTGCACCCTACAGCAAAAGAAAAAAAAAAAATCCTACAAAGTTCAGATGGCCACTGCCCCTAGTGACCATTTATAATCTCTTACTAGGCAGCCCCAGAGAAGCTCTACATTGCCCTGACTGATCAGGGAAGACCCTAATCTTAGTCTTTTCTAATGGAGAATGAGGCCCTCAAATCAGGGTGGGCAATCACCCAGTTACAAGCATCTGAAATAGTCTGTGACAGGTCTCTGCCCAGAGGAGCCAAGTGTGTCAGCTTGCATGGATTGAGTACTTCCCTTTCGCTCTGGAAGGACACTAAAAATCTGGACTTTGGCAGTGAGGGCCCCCTACATTCTGCACAGGGCCCAGGCCACATTAACACTGTAAGTTACATCTGATAGTCACTATCTTTAAAAATACTATTTTACTTAGCCCAACTTTTAGAAAAAACTAGACTATGTAATATGTCTAAAAAGAATACTTAAATTAGGAAAGATGTTGAATTCTGAGCAGAAAAAAAAAAAAGGAACTGAAACTGGCTTTATTAAGAGAAAATATGAATAACACTGACAGAAAAATGAAATCAGAAAGTGTGGACAATGCTTTGACTTTCGGAGGCAGCGCAGATACTGCAGCTCCCTGAAGACGAGAGGTTTCTTACCCGTAAGTCTTCGTTAAGACTTCCCAAAGTCTGCATGGAATTCTAAGGGTGAACTGTGACCCCGAGTTTTCCTGACTTCGGAGGGGGCCGCCTACTGGGACACAGGAATGGTCTATGACCTCTGGATGACACCACGGGTGTAATCTCAACTGGACCAGCCTGAGGTGTATTTCGTGTTGGGTAAATTCTCTTTGCAAGCCAAATGATTTACAGTGATCAAATGTATAAAACAGTAATAATAAAATAAAAGTCTATAGTAAAAAAAAGAGCTGAGGGGATCGGAGAGCGAATACTCACCAAGGAGGAGGCCGAGTGGCGGCCGACAGGACGGAAAAGCCAGGAGGAGGTCCAGCAGGCAGGCACAGGCGTCTCGTACAAAATGGCCGTAATCCGCCGCTCCCTGTCTACTGCACAGCTCCTGCAGTCTCCGCTGCTCGGCACTGTCGCTGGTGTAGTCCACGAGGGCTCGCAGCAGCGCCTCAGAAGAGGAAATTGACTTAGAATACCCCGTGCTGGTCCCACCAGATGGTGGTAATGGTTACGTGCTGGACTCCCATGTTTAGTTTGAGTCCTGGACCTAGCAGCTTGGGAGTAGAGAAGAAGGGACTGCAGAGTGGCCATCCTCCCGGGGGGTGACTTCTTGCTTTCTGTCCCTCTGTCTCTCCAGCACATACGCCCTACAGCAAAAATCTCTAAAAAAAAAGAAAAAGAAAAAGAAAAAGAAAAAGAAAAAAGAAAAAAGAAAGCCAGCACTTCGGTAGTTACCTGCATCAAATGTTACGTGAGATGCTGACGTGCACTGCTGACTCCTATTGCACATGCAGGACAGCACGGCTGTGTCCTGGCCTCCCTTGAGGGTGGACAGGACTCTGCTCTCCTGCACGTCACAGGTTTCCAGGGGCCTAGCCTCAGCATCCCTGCCCTGAGTATCTGGAGACTCACAAAGTGAACGAATCCCTCCAAGGACCAGAAGATAGTGCTGAGCCAAAAAATCAGCACTCAGGAAATGCTGCTGAGCCAACAAACACCCTGAATCTCCAAGTGCATCTTTGGGAAGGATAAAAGCTTACTAGTAACACTTTGTAAGTTCTAAAGGTGATGAAATTTCCTAAATTTCAGACTAAAACAGGGGCAATTATAATCTTTCACATAATTTTAATATTGGAACTATAAAACATTATGGTACTAAAATAGGAACTACTGTAATATTTTTGCTGAACAAACTAACAAAATTGACAAACATTAATACAATTTAAATTGTATATGTTAAAGATAGCAGTTGTAATACAAGAGATATATTTTGCAAAAATACTTCAAATAAGTGTGGAAAGATGAAATAATAGAAGAATATTTACCTAGACAGGTCTTTTTTGTTTTTGTTTTTTAGTTTTTGCCAGAGGGAGCGTGCACTCAGCTGGAGAGAAACAGACTGGGAAGGTGAGACAGTACCCCGGGAGTGGTCCCACCACAATACCCTCTCCCCTTTCTCTCTCCTTTTAGGACTCTGGGCACGTGGACACGCACACACATGCTGGTGTGTTTTTCAAGCCATCAGGTCTAGGACTCAAACTACAGAGTCGGCTTCATGGGATTAGCCACATACCATTCACCACTCCAGGCCTGGCCCGGCAGCTTTCTTAATTGTGAAAAACTAAAATTAACCCTATTGTCCATGATTAAATCAACATATCTGGATGCATCCGTTAAAAAGATCTTCAAGCCTCCATATTGAAATAGACAAGACTGTTGATTTCTTCTTAAGTGAAAACAGCAAGTTACAGAACAGCACATATCCTATAAGACCCCATTTTTCTATTTTTCTTCTGGAGGTTTTTTTTTTTTTTTTTTTGCTATAGGGTGCGTGCGCTCGTCAGAAAGACAGAGAGACAAAAAGAGAGAAATCACCCCCCAGCAGGCTGGCCACTCTGCAATCCCTTCTCCATTCTCCTCTCGGGATCTTGGGCACACACGCACATGCACCTGGCATGAGTTTAAGCCACCGGGTCTGGGATTCGAACTGCATCAACTACATGGGAGTCCAGTGATATGGCCACTACGCCAACATCCATATACACATACACTTTGGAAAAGAGTTCAATCAAAATCAATTTTAATTTAATTTAATCAATAGGTTCTCCTCACAGTAGATTCTAAGTTTACTCATATCGAGGGCTAAGCCTCTCTCTAAAGCAGCCTGCTTCCCATAGACCACATTAGTAAAACTGAGTGCAGACCACCCAGGAGAGGCTGGCCTCATTATAGTGCTCTTTACGCTCCTGAGCAGACACAGCTTGGAACATCTTATACATTATGCCCATTTGAGGGAAACGGTCAGAAGACTTCAGTTATAAGTTAGTTTTTTTAAATATGCATACTCCCTGGTATAATACTGACATCCAGTGGATGCTCTGTCTCTAAGTCCACCTAACTATCAATACAACCTAGCAAAAAACCTGATTTTTCCTAAGGAGTTCTGCCTCTGCAACAACTATGTAGCATACACAAAAGAGATCATAATAGCTGTAGGAGTGGCAAATGGTCAGGGTGGGATGTGTGTGCGAGAGCCATCATTTCTCCTAAGCTTCCTGTCACCGTTGGAGAAAAGTGCCAAGGTGTCACCGGTAACACAAGGCCAACAGTCATCACTGTTTAATACGCTTATGAAATCCAGTAAAAATGAGACTAAGAAAAAATCCTATAAAAATTCATTTTGGGACAAGCAGTTAGCGTAATGGCTATGTTGCTGGACTCCCATGTAGTCGACCGTGGTTCGAGTCCCGGACCCAGTGGCTTAAATTCACGCCAGGTGCATGTGTGTGTGTGCCCAAGATCCCGAGAGAATGAAGAAGGGATTGCAGCGTGTCCATCCCCCCTGGGGGGTGATTCCTCGCTTTCTGTCTCTCTGTCTGTCTCTGTCTTTCTGGAGAGCGCACGCACCAGCAAAAACCTCTCAAAAAAAAAAAAAAATTCATTTCAATAGAAAACATAAAAATTCAATGTAAATACAACATTAAAAACATTGGTTTGACAATAAAGATAACATGTCACCTTGGAAAACAATTTTTAAAACCTGCCATGAAGATCGTTTTGTTAAGCCTTCAAAGGGCAGTCAGTAGATTGACTTAACCATCCCACAGAGAGCTAGCACACTTTGACAGTTACTCCCTAGGACAGAAGAATACCTTTTTAGGAACTGCTCGTATCTCAAGACACCAGGTGAGCAGGAACTGAAGAGAACACCCCTCAGGTATGTGCGGGGGCACTGCTGCTCCTGTTACAGTAAAGACAAGAAGGTTGGTGACGTAAAGTATAAAATGTGTCACATCCCCCGAAACCCAGTTAGCTTAATACTGTAGTGCAACATGATTTGCTGCAATGTTTATTCAGCGAGAAAGTTTCCCCAAATGAAAATAGCACGAAAACCCCACCTTACATAAAAAGTAAGGTGTGGTTTATAATTATAATTACAAATTTAAGGTAGGCCAAAAAAAAAAAAAAGAAAGAAAAATGATCTAAAATTAAGGAACAAAAAAATATCAAAGAATGGCAGTGTTCCATTAGAATTTAATGGTGAAGGGGAGTCTTCAAAAAGTTTACAGAAAATACATATTGTAAAAAAAGTATGCTCAGATTTCAAAATCTTCGGTACTAAAACAAACTTTTACCTTAATGACATTTTTTCCACAAATGTTTTGAAATACCTTCATATAATATTCTAAAAAAAAAAAAATTTAGGACTGAATTCAAGTTCAAGATCCTAAGCAAATTGCTGACAAGTATTTATATTTTAAAAAGTTACTCATTTTACTTATGGGAAAAGAAATAATTTTATATACTAGATAAACAATAATATGCTATGAGCAATATATACTAGGAAAAAATTTAAGGTTTCTGCCATATGGCACATACACTTACTAGAGAGGGAAGTGAGAAATCACCCTCTAAGGGAGAACAGCCACGTTGCAATCCCTTCTCCTCTAAGCTCCTCTTGGGATTTTGGACATGAATGCACACGCACCCAGCGTGATTTTCAAGCCACCAGGTACGGGATGTGAATCACGATGGGCCACGTGGAAGTCTCACACCTTAACCTCCATGCCACATGCTGGCCCAGAAATCATTTCCAAAAAACACTGCAAGCCATTGCTTCTCAAAGAACACAGTCAGTCACATTTACTCTTCACGTCCACTTCTTATCCAAGCCTAAGACCCACCCCTCATCAGTGCACTTCACGTGAACGTTACGAACTGGCAACGCCAGTGCGTGTCTGTGTTCCTGGCACCTGTGCAGCCACCACGCAGGTTAAATGGGAGCCGTGGGCGCGCCCGCTCACGGTCGGCGTCCGTCCACCCAGGGACTGTCGCGAGTCACAGCACCAGCGTGTACCTCTCTTCTTTGTGTCGGCCTTAACTGTCACGAGGACACAGTGCTTTCTTTTCTCTGCCAGCTGTAGTCTCTGGAGCAGGCTTTCCACCTCAGAATCGCTGTTAGGACAGATCACATTGAAGGCATCTCCAGGTTGATAGGAAAAATTTGCTTCCTAGAAAAGAACCATGAAATGAAAAGAAAAAAATTCCATATGAGTTAAGACTTTTTAAGTTGTGGAATAACAGGCAGCCTTCATAAAATGACCACTGTATTACACAAGTAGATTTCAAGAAGCTCATAGAAAATGCAACGAAAGTAAAGAGGAGATCATGGGACCAGCACATGGCATAGCTGTTATGTCGCTGGACTCCCACATGGCTTCACGCCATTCAAGGCCTGCACCCAGGGCTCGAAAACCATGCTGGGAGCCTGTGCCTGCATGCCCAAGATCCCGGGAAGGGAATGGAGGAGAAGTGAATGTGGTGGGCCATCCCCCTGGGGGAATCTCTCACTTTTTCTCTCACTGTCTCTGTTTCTTTCTCTCTCTCTGGTAAGCACATGTGCCTTAAGGCAAAAACCTCTAAAATAAATTAAAATAAATAAATAAATTAAGTAGGAGTTCATTCTGGCGGGAAAATATTTTTAAAATCCATGTAAGGTTTTGTTTTCAAAATTAGTATAGACCATTAACTTTTTAAACACTCATATAAATTGAAAATAATTTTAACTGCAAAAAGCTCAGAAATAAGACTAACCTGATGAACATATCATTATTAGAGATTTACTTTGAAACAGAAATTCAGTAGCTATCCAATGCCTTTATTGTTGTGTGTTTATGGAATCCTCATTGTCTACAAAGTTAAGGTACCATGGTGCTTTTAATAATCCATGTAAAAACATACATGTACATGCATGCACATGCACAAACATACATCAAGACCAAAAGAAACTGAAGTGATCTGTACTGGTTTTTAATTTCCTTTTCCTTACTTCACCTTTCTTCTTTTGGAGAAAACAGGGGTAAGAGAGGACGTTTTGCTTACTGAGCATAAACCACAGTCTCTGCCTTGACTGATACTGGTTTTGGGCAAACCTAGGCTGGAAAAAGAGCAACCTCCCAGATCACATCTATTGACAAAGCCTTTTGCCTCTGGGGCTGAACACGCAGCAGTCTTCTGGAAGAAAGGGTTTCTCATTATGACACACGCTCACATTTCTCACCTGAGAGGAAGACAGACCTGACTTAGCAACTGGCAGCCCTCACTGCTCCACATGACAAAATGCAGGCCATCAAGAAACATGAAACATTAAATGCCCTGGCCCGCACCGCATACATACAAAACGCACGGGTAATTCAAACGCTCACAGGAAACATGGAGCTACTCGACAGCACGGAGGCACACTCATCGAGTTTTGAGTGCCTGTAGTATTTGCTTTTTAAATTAACCTACGTGAACAGCCTTGATGTGCCTTCACTTTCTGGAAAGCACAAGCCACTTCACCTCTCAGGACCATCCTCAAAGTAAAGGGCTGAGCTAGGCGGTCTGCAGAGACTCTCAGGCCCTCTCAGGCCTTAGGATTATCAAGCAGATTCCACAAAGGGGGTAGGTTGGAAGGACGCTGGATGGAGCTCTCAGGATGGTGCAAAAGCCCCTGAGATTGTCTGCCAGCATTTCTGGAGACAGAGTCCATAATTTCCTCCAGATTCTCAAAGAAATCAGAACCACGGCTGAGAACTTAACCGTGAAGCGACTGTCCGAGTGCTATTTCTAACTAGTGGCTGACTTTGGGCAAACGGCTTCCTTAGCTGGGTCTCTTATAAATAAATCCTGTTCTGATTCCCTTTTTCTCTCGTGGCTTAATGAACAAAGCAGAACGCTGTCCTCTCAGGCTGACCCACCTCCATGCACTCACTGAAGTGAAAGGCCCTTCCTTGAAGTGGAAGAAAATAGCTGGGGGGGGTAGGGCAGAGGTCCACCAGAACTTGGGTTCTTCCTGAGTGTCTGTAACCCAGTCTCTCTGCACATCATGACAATGTAATTCTGGTGAGAAATAAATCTTGCAACTTACTGAAACATCTAGTTCCAATAGCAGAGTGGTTTTTATGGCATCTTCTGTAGTGAGTCGAACTGCCTTTGAAATTGGAACTTGAAAAATAGGATCCGCTGGAGTCACAGATGCATGGTTTTCTTCCTTGAGAGATGGAAGAGATAAAACATCACCAAATGCAATTTTCACTACCTCATCCCTGCCCTCAGTGACTACAAGCTCTGAGGGATCTTACAAAATTTCCTCGCTACTTGGTATTCCTGTTGGAGGGGAATGGACAGACACAGGGAACTCATTCAGAAGAGAAGCTTAGCTTTGTTTTCAACGCTTCCACCCATTAGACACTGAAGTTTCTGCTACACACAGGAAATCTCACAGGCTGGCATTTTCACGTAGTGGTCTGCTAGTTGTCCTAACAGGCTACAGAGAAAACACTGTATTCGAGTATTTCAGGAAGGAGATCTTATAGGAAACAACAGAGGTCCCAAGTTGAGTGGATCACAGGAGCCACGGAGGCCCCTCATGTGGGGCAGCGTTCGTGTGGCTGAGCACTGAAATGTGGCAGTAGGCCTGGGGCCTGAACTCCTCACCTCAGGTAATAACTCATTCCACTCCGAGAAGCTCTGTGTGCTGCTGGCTCCTGTACAGGCGGCACAGGTTGTGGGAGACTCAAACCCAGCTCTTTAAAGTACCCTCCACCTTCTAATGGGATACTCCCAAGTGTAAAAATAGAAAATCACATTTCAACAAAAGTGCCAGTCAAAGTGGCTATCTGGGGAGGCTGGGAGGAGGGTCGGGGCTGGCTGGGGCCATATGTCTAGAGGCGACCCAGAGCCAGAGATGAACCGATGACCAAGGCCAGGCCCTTAGCTAGGACAGGGCTGAAAGGCCGACCAGGTCCCCAGGGTTGGCTGAGGCCTTTTCTGAGACTGTGTTGCAGCTCAGATTCCTGCCGTGTCCAGTCCTGCTTCTGTGTCTCCATCCCCCTGTGATGCTCCCAAGAGGATGCCCCACAAAACGCCTTGCAGTCAGATTCCTGGAGACCCAGCCTTTAACAGCTGGTGCCACAGCAGCCTGGGGAAGTTAGGAGGAGAGTTTGGTACGCACACCACATCCATGACAGGTGAGCACACAGCCCAGCACACGACAGCCACGCGATGCTACGCGGGAGGACGAGGCAGCAGAAGGAGCACACCAGCCAGTGTGATGCGTCCGGCGCTTGAGGACCCAGGGAAACTGCACTGAGGTGACAAGTGGGACTGGGGGTTACCCTCAAACATCACTCACACCCGAAAAGCTGCTGAAAACTAAAAGGATTCATCCCTGACTAAAACCCAAGCATGCAAGCCAGATGCATCCTCAGTAGCTTCTTTTTTTCTTTTCTTTTTTTTTTTTTTTGGGGGGTTTTTTCTTTAGGGGGCGATGGGTTCCCAG